CTTTTACCGTACTACTACAACAACGTACCCATCTGTCTGCCGGGGACCAGTATTATCCATTCACCGTCGCAAACGAGAAGTAAGAAAAGATTTTTTGACATAAAGCAGAACGGTGTACCCATTNGAAGTACACTAGAATAGTAGGATCAGCTGACCTTACGTATCTACCCTGTTTCAGATTTGGGCCCCGAAGATAGGCGCCGGAGTCGTCCGAATTCGCCATGAGCTTCGCCGCGCAATGTGTCGCGCGCCCCCTCGGACGCACGACTTGACACACATCCGGGTCTCGGTAGTGTAAGGAACAGAGCACGGTGTCGTGAAGCACAAGTACCGGTTCGAGTCCCGTCCGAGATTGAAGTTTTGTCCACAGAATGGCAACCTTGTGAGATATTCACTGTTAACTTTCGTCAACAACCTAAGCCTAACCAAAGAAAAATTCGAACCGTCTCAGCGCCACAATAAAATAACTGATATATAATACACAAGAAGAAGTGAAATATTCTACAAAGCTTGAGAGGGCATATTCTTGACAAGCCGAGCCTCGCAGTTCTCCGGACTTGGCACAAACAGATCAACATCTACATCTGCATAGGCCTACTCTTCACTAGTTAGAAGTATTGACGATCTTGAGTAATACAAGAATTTTCATAAGCAATTTTTCACTTCAAATCCTAAGATATAGTGGCAAATAAATGCTAAGAATGAATAAAAAAGATAGAAGAGATAAAGAATCTGAAAGTTTTGGACAGATTATTTAACAGTCAAATTTATTATATTTACTAGCGCAACTACAAAGAGGAAAAGAAGTATCGTCATAAAGAAACATAAAGGAGCAGAGAACAAAAGAAAAGAATAAAAAAGAGCTACTTACGAATCTTGTACAAGGGTGTATATTTGTGGAACGTTGTGCGTACGAGCAATTCGTTGTACCATGCCTGGAAATGAGTAGAATGTACACAGCGATGAATAAAATTTATTACACTGCGGCACAATGGAACGTGAAAGTCAAATGGGAGTGATAAGTAACCAATCGCTTGACATTGTCAACACTGCAAGAAAGGAATTCCTGATCATATGTATTCTCTTGAAAGATTTACTGATATTTACCGGTCTTCCCCTCCCAAAAGGATTCCGAAGTTTTTCTTCAAGGCATCTTTAATTAAGATCCCCCAATCACCGACGTGCATTTGTAAATGTAGCTCGGAATTGTAAGTGATTACGGGATTAGGGTTAGGGATGAAAGCGCGATGTGGAGAGGGCTGATTGATTCAGAGAAATCATCACAACTGTCAGATCAGTAGCTGGTCTCGAATTAGATTTCAAAAAATCTTCCTCTCATATATAAGCTGGGTTATCGTATACTTTTACCGTACTACTACAACAACGTACCCATCTGTCTATGCTGGGGACCAGTATTATCCATTCACCGTCGCAAACGAGAAGTAAGTAAAGATTTTTTGACATAAAGCAGAACGGTGTACCCATTAAGCCGATCGTGATCGTTTTGTAACTTATTGTTAGACGCCTAAGTTGTTTGACTGTTGGCCTTCTTCCAACTCCAGCAGCATGTTGATCATCTACAAGAGTTAAAACGGAGCACTTCGTAGGCACTGCCGTGTGCCAAAAGCCCAGTACACTGCTTTCCGCAAACAAAATCAGCACGTGGGCCATGCTGATATTGCACGCATATATCGGGACGAAGAAAAAAACCCGTCATCACTACGAAAAACACCAACAACCCTAGATTTGGTGTCAAAATCATTCTGAGACCTGGGGGCGACGCTGAATCGGTCTTTGAGTCCTTCATAGAACAGACGGTGCTACGAGAATGTAGAGTAGGGTATGTACAGAGGGCAAACGATAGTGAGCCATAAAAGCGAAACACGTACAACCTTATTAGAAACTCAAAGAGTTCTTGTCGGAGCCTGTATTTGACCATCATACGCCCATTGTATACCTGGAACGCTTTTTACTGGGATAGTTTAGCTCAGACCTATTCACTGCAACTTTTCGGTTTTCTTTAAACATTGTCAAGAATTGAAGGGCATATTCAACAAATGCTTGATAGCCAATGCAAAACAAGCAAAGGAGAAGAAAAGACAAAAGAAAGAAATCGTTGGTCTAGAGCAGGTTGATTCCCGAGGAATGACTGGGCGTGTGAGTGGAAAAAATTGTCAAAAGATTCTATTAGGAACAACACTGTAGAAGATGGAAATCTGTAAAGAGTCTGAGGGAGAGAAGAACAGGGTGATCCACATGTTCATGAATTCAGCTGCAGAAGGGAATCCAAGAGAGTGATCAACATGTAGATGAGTCCGTTGGAAAGAGAAACTTCATAAAATTTAGTTTATTCGTGAAAATGATACAAACAACGGAAGCCATTCCCACTCGGCCTAAAACAAGAAAATATATTAAGCTCAAGAAGGAAACACCATTCGCCTTTTTGTTTATTATAATGATATTTTGAATACAAGACGGAGGTAATGTCGTGGCATGTGGCGCATGGTAGCGGGTTCCAGTGCAGGGTGGGTATTTGCCTAAGTCAACCAGGCCTTCCATTCCTCCGGGG